CCAAGCGGGATCCTCAAACAACTTTGCCTGCGGAATTCAACAAATGTCAGACGACATTGAAACTGTCGCAAATAAGACTTACCCATTCCGACTTATTTGCCCATAATACACCGGCGCATATACGCTGAAAGCCATCCTTGTCCTGCTTGCTACGTATCCCACTCGGACGATCCATCACCATATCACGGAACTCGACAGGGAGTAGAGGATGTATCTGGGGATAATTGAGAAACTCCACGATAAGGCGTCCAATCTTGTCCTGTTGATCATCAGCCTTTACAGGACCAATTAGCATTAAAAAAATGATATATGCGCATACACTCACCGCAACCTCCTCCACCATAGACTCTTCCCGATCACTGTGGTCCTCATTGTCACCTATCAATTCAACCTGTTCCCCCTCCTCCTCGTCACCAAAGAGTGTGGCAAGAATCTCCGAATCAATTTCGTCATCTTCAGAAATCTCACCACTCCTCTCAATTGCGGTGATCTGCAAACTATTGGTATCCTCGTCTACGACCTCGTCGACCACCTCCTCGTCCACATTTTCATCTCCTTCGTTTTCGTCAACAAGATCCTCAACGGACAAGGCAACAGGAGCAGACATGTGTGGTTCAGCATCGTCGACATCGATATTGGCTGCGTTCGGCGAGGCAATGTATGGAGGACTGAGGATCCTGTTTCGGTTGTGATGCATTATGAGGGTACTCCTTCGCAGAGGAATGTCATCGGAACCTTCATCGTCCGATGTAGCAGCAACAGGGGGTGTACAGGAAGCAGCAACTAGGGTAGGATCCTTGAGAATAGGCTCGACCACACCGAGACAATGCGATGGAGGCTGATCTGCAACAGCCGCAATAGAAGTGCATTTTTTATGCAATCAGGCCATGACATAAAAAGGTAATGATGGCTGACCTGCGACATGTACCACAGATGGGGCTTTGTCAATGCAAGGAGGGATGAGGGAAGGGGAAGGGTAAAGTCGGCGATGACGGGCCTCCTCAGTGAGCAACACAAGGGCTTTCTGAACCGCCGTACGGTGAGCTGCAACTTTGTCTTCAACATCAGAATCTTCGTCCGTCAAATCAGCTACACCATGATGAGCTTCAGCCAGATTTTCGCGGATTTTCTGAAGCTTGAGGATGTGAGAAGGCATGTTGCGAGACTGTGAGGTAAAAGCGAAACGATACGACAACGAGAAGAGTCTTGTATGACGCAGAAATGGAATCACATGTAAGGAAAAGCGATGACGACAGGATGGAGTGCAAATGCTGTCGTGAAACGCGTCAGTGGCACGTCAAAACGTCACGGCAAAATGTCACGTGACCGTGCAGCGCATATAGTCAGATAATCTCGCACACAACAGATCACTCTAACCCCGCCCCCCCTCTGTACATCAATTCAAGCAATCCCTAATCATCTGTACGCAATGTCTGAAGAGACTGTCACCGTAAAAGTCTCGAATGATGAGGTTGAGAAGGCGTACGAGTCAATCCTGCCTCTCAATGCCGAAACCTCTCTAGTCGAATATTGGAGGAAGAAACGGGATGGCGAACTGGAAGGGTGAGGCTTTCAGAGCCTCTCACCATAGACCGAACTGACATAATTAACAGCCCTACTGAGAAGTGCTTCATGCGGGGAAACACTGTCTACAGTAAAGTCAACAAAATCGACGAGTGCGACGATATTAACTCGATGGACGCAGTACCCAGAAAGGACAACCCTCATCAGTTCCAATGGGTTCAAACCATTAAAAAGGGGGAGAAGTTACCACCATCATGGGAACTGTTGGATGAGAGCGACTTTTACGATAAGAGGAACAACGGTAAACGTTCTGCCAGGTTAGTTCTGATTCAACAGACTAAATAAGCGGAATAAATAGTTACCTGCAGCTCTAGCACTAGAGAGGCACGGGGTAGTGGCGACGACTCATGCGATGCCGAGCTAGGAGTAACCTTGATAAAAGGTAAGATAGCCGGCCCTGGAAGCATGTCGAACGCCCGCGTTAGGGATTCCAAGAGCGTCCCACTTCATGGGGACAATATCTGCAATGAAGCTAGCGATAAGGCGTCAAACCTCCCCAAGAAATGCATGAAAAAAAACTCGGTGAGAGAGTCGCCAACCTAAAATATTACATCTAAACTTTCTACAGAAAAAGAGAACGTCAGAAAATGACAAACCATCTACACGTAGCCAAAAGAAGAAGAGGATATGCGTACAGCTGTCGTCTGATGATGACTGAGAGCCATTAGAATAGGCGCATACATGAGATTACAATTTTTCGGTGCTTCGAGTCATATCTTGGTAGCATATACCTTGGAACGGAATGTATAAGCAGTGTGAATGTGACATAAACACGTGAACAAGGAGAAACTGCGACTTGAGTGAAGGAAAACCCGACAGTCAAATACTTCGTCTTACTGACATGTCATAAAAGCAATACATTGAAACGTTGCAAATTGACGAGTGTAGCCAGGATGAATCCGAAATAAGAAAAAAAGCATAGAAACTGTGAGGAATGATTTTCAAAAAGACAGGACAGATGAAATACGACTATGTCAAAAAATTACACCCTTTCT